CACACACACACATACACACTCACACACTTTCTCTCTCTGTCTCTCTCTCTCTCTCCCTCTCTCTCTCTCTCTCTCTCTCTAACTCTCTTTCTCTCGTGGATCTACACACTTCGAACTTAGGCCTACAGAATTACACAAGAGAAAACACATGAAGCAATAATATCAAAGTATTATTGTATGCCATTTTTATGTAGGCTAACTCTTTTGCTTAGACCCCCCGCAAAAAAAACAACAACAAACAAACAACAAAAAACAAAACAAAACAAAAAACAAAAAAACCAACCCCAACCCAACAAACAACAACATTAGCAACACCAAACAAAAACCATAAAACACCCAAGGAAAAAATTATAGCTTATTTTGAATAGGATCTTTCTTCCCTGGCCTTTTGATAACGCTTTCAAGCTTATTATAATTACTTAAAGCTCACCATGGTCTTAGCATATTGATGTGCATGCAGGCTAGATCTAACTTCCTTTTACATGTACACAATGTACATGTCATGTAGAGTTGATCTAGCGGGTTGACATTATTTAAAAAAAAAAAAAAAGAAGTAGGTAACGTTCCACAAGACACGTGAGTCTTGGCTGGTACATAACAGTAACAGGAATTTTAGTTCTTTGACGGCAATGCACTGTTCGAAAGCTGCTGCGAAACTGAAGCAACAGAGAACAAACTTCGTAATGTAAGCAAAGCTAGCTGCTTGACTACGGAACAGACCCTTGGCGAGAAAACTGCTGACAACATCAGGGGAACGTAGGCTTAACCCTCCTCCTGACATTGGAGGATGCGACACACGAACTCTCACGTAGGCTAACCTCCCGTTGGCCTGCAGCCTTCAACTTCACTCGCCCAGTCAGACCAGCGTAGCCTAGACTGCTGTCGCTGTGTTCCTATTTTTCGTCTATTCACTCATCACTGACCAAGTTGGATATTGTATAAATTCAGCTTTGCTTGCCCACGACTTACCCAACCCAGAAGGTAGATCTAATTTAGATGTACTTTTTCTAAATTTATAGCAGTCATAATACCCCGTAGATTTTTCTTTTACTTCGTAGATCTGGATAGATCTGTCTACCCGCAAGGCCAAGGCCGAGCCTCGCCGAAGTTGAAGTCTGAACTTTTACTCAAGCAACAAACAAAGCTTGAGCCAAGACCAGGCTTAGGCCAAGCTTGTAAGTTTCACTTTCAGGCCCACCCCCCGGCTCCTTTCTCTGGTGTCTAGATCTAGATTATAGAGATCTAGATCTAGATTTAGATCTCTGTGACATTTTCCGTCTGAGACAGGGGAAATTAGGGTTTGAGGGTTTGATTGGGGGGGGGGGGGGGGGGTCAAAGGCCGGCCGGTGGGATCAAGGATCGCTTTCTGTTCGGTTGGGCTAGCAGTGGTCAAACTCACCTCTCGAAAGTGCTATCCTCTCTGATAATGACATGCATTACAGTTTACTAGATTCTAGATTGATATCTATCCAATTACCACCCCAGCAGGCGCGGTTCGTCCATACAGCGTACGGTCGTGCAGTGCCGCCCAAAATGTCTTATGTTCTATTCCGTAAAGCACCCACAATAATAAAATCAAAGACTCCAGAAACAGTCATAGAGTACTAGATCTAGATCTAGCCAAATATTATAGGCCGGCTCTATTTCTCCGAACGTTCGGGAAAATAAAGCTGGGCTTTATTTCTCTGAATGTTCGGGAAAATAAAGCTGGGCACTATTTCTCCGAACACTCTGAAATCACATCCTTTCCCGCAAATTTCGGATGTATATATATAAATCTAGATCTATAAAATTATATTATAGGCCTACCAAAGATAGTTCGTATACAAGTCAGCCTGATTCCCTGTTTGAACTTCTCTGTTGGCATCCACCCCTTGGCGCTCATGTAGGACCTTTATGCAGTTGTGAGCGTCGTAAAACCTTACTAAAACAAACTAGACTTGAGCATAATTCCTCACGATTTAAAAGTCTCATGAGCACGCTCCAGCCTTTTGGTCATCTCACTTTTCTGATATCTGGCGACATCATATAATATGTGAGGCAGTGTGGTGAAGTCAGGCGCTCGTCAAAATAATGAAATCAAAGAAAACGATATTTTTCTTCCAGTTCAGCATTTTTTTTTGAATTTTTATTTTTTGGCTCAACACCTTTCATTAAAAAACACATTCCTGTGTGGATAGCACTGGAAAACGTTGATTAAAGGCAAAAAAGTGTAAATTTTCTGTTTTCACAGATTCTCAAGTTAAGGAAATTATAACTAAACTTTAGCAGCCATTTTCCACTAATTTTACCTCTGAAACCAGGTGACCCTAGCCTTCTTCAATCGAAATTTCTAGACTTGCATTCAAGATAGCTGGATATTTTTTTCATCAAAAGCAAGACAAATGAACAACCTTTAAGGTAATACCATAATAACTTCACATGACCAAAAATTGACGAGGGCCTAATTCCACCACGTCATGACACATATTATTTTGCCTACAGGCTGAGGTGGCATAGTTCATTTAAGTTTCTCCAAGCGACTTAAGAATTACATTCCATTTTTGATAACATGTTCTTGAATCAGCGCAGACCAGTCCAGGAGCATTGGCAACAAACGCTTGAATTTGGCAGTGAAGAAGACTTCACTGTGTAGTTAATTTATTACAGTAGATTATGATTTCATCTGTGAACACAGATTAACAGGGACAATGAATGATACAGGTCCTGTACGACATAACATGAAATAATATGGGGTACACTACTACGTAACGTACAGAGAACATGAACTAATAACTAGTAATGACACATAACCATACTTCCCCCCCACTCTGCTCCTGAGGTTTGACTGCTTCCTGTTACCCCTCATTATTGTGTGGGAGAAGGCGTTTCAGGGCTGCGGGGAGACTTTTCCTTTTTCATACTTGCAAAACCTGTCGATAATTGGGGCTGGCGGTATAACAGGGGGCAGTACAAGGAGGTTTGACCGTACATCTAAGACGCACACTTTCACAGCCTGGAAACAGACAAATTATTCCATCCCTTTGGAGAGTTTTGACTTGTCAAAGATGGAAATACTTTGCCCTCTCAACCCTGATTCAACAAAAGCCCCAACTAGGTTTGGTTTCACTGGCCTTAACATTTTTATGTCATGCTGCCTTCAAAGTAGGAGGGGTTAGGTTTGTGGAGTAGCATTTCAGAGGTGAGATGTCTTGTCCTGCATGCCCACTGGACAGGTGACACTTGAACCCACTGTAGCTGGTTCTCTAGATAATCTCTTCCCCCCCCCCCCCCCCCCCCCCCCAAAGGGGGGGAAATAAGGACGTGATTTTTTTCTGGCTCCTTTCCGACTGCATTTAATACTAAGTGGTGTAAAAATAAGTAGCTTTCGGGTGCTATTGTTATTTTTATTAAGGATGAGCTCCACGCCATACTTTTAAAAACTTAAAGTTATTTTCTATATTAGGTGGATCATATATAATATACATTGAAATTTAAAGAAATATTCTTTGAAGATATTTTTTTTCAGTGAAATCTCTGCATCATGTCATTGGGGAAAAAAACAACTGAATGAAACTGTTAGAGTACAACAATGTTGAAAATCATTAAATCCTGTCCTTCTGAGCTATCATGTATTATGAATATCTTTAGTTTTGTGTGGTCATCTTCATTCCCCTCTCCAACTCTGTCTCTTTTTCTCTCTCTTTATCACTCTCTCTCCCTCTCTCTCTCTCTCTTGCTCTCATATTTAAAATCATATTTTCACTCTCACTTTATCCCACTCTGTCTTGCTCTCACTTTTTTAACAGGCTTTGTATCACTTAAAACGACAGTCTGTTGAATAGCTACTTTTTTTCAGTGCTCATCTATTTAAAAAAGTGAAGTAAAGAATAGAAATAAAACAAGGAGAGAAACCATAAAATGTAGTACTGTTGGAAAGGGAAATCATGAGGATGGTATGTTATCAAAATATAAAGAAGCCCACTTTTTTCTGTACACATATAAGTAAAATACGAAGTCATGTGGTTCACAGAGAATGTCTGTCTTATAAATTATTTGGACTCTCTGTGCTGGCAAAGGCTTATTTAAAAAACCCCATTATAAATGAAGTTAATTTTGCTCTTGCCTGTCATTTTCCATCTGAAAGTGGTTAAGTTAATAGATCTTGAAGTAGAGAAGAGTATTTAAATTTTCTGATGCAACACCCATGTCATTCCCCTTCTTACCCCGCCGGCCTACACTCCATATGCACATACATGTACACACAGATACTAACATGCTGTCACATACTCCATCTCATTTTTGGGGGGACACAATGCCCTTCCTGTCTATATATATGTCATTCTTTGTTGTCCTTATTGAGTGGAGTGACAGACGTGGTTACTTTATGATTCAGTTATGGATGGGGAAGCAAACTATTGTACCTCAGAATTGAAATTAATGCACACCTTTGATACACTGTCATTGTGTGTTAGGAACATATTTTAAAATATTCTAAATATGTAAATTAATGGCTTTCCAATGTTTTGTTGTGTGTTGGCTAACATTGTTAGTGAATGTTCTTACTGCTTCCATGTGAAGCTTTGGGTTTCTGCTTTCTGAAGCATTTTTTTTACCACAAGGAAAATAGGAAAGATACCTGGAAAATAGGAAAGATACCTGACCTGAGTATAATATTATTCTGAGGTGGTTGAAGGTGAAGAACTATTTATGACTTGAACTGTGTGTTACCTTCCCGGCTGCCGTCTGTCAGTAAAGCGGATCATTTAATGTAAGTTTTGGTAATAATGCGATTAGAGTAATTTAGAGACAAATAGTGAGAAATCTTTTCGTTGTACAAAAGAATAGCATTAAAATTATGCTTTCGTATTTCTGAACAGTAACCAATTCTACTTTCAACTGCAGTTTGAAGACTGACCTCAGAACCCAGTTAAGAAAGTTACTCCAAAATAAGAATTTGATTATAAGAGATACATTTATTATTGTGAAGTATGGTCTTTTAGTTCCCCAAAATATCTTATAATTATGGAAAGTCTTTTGCTGTATTATAATAGTTATTTGATTTTACCTATATTTCATCTTATGGCGGTAGATGCAGGACAACTTACCTTGAGTTTGAAAGGCACTTTTTGTTTGTTGTATAGGTAACTAATAGGAATATTTTAGCATGTACTATTTATTGTAGAAATGCTTGGCATCGGCAACAAGGGTGCAAAGCATTTTCTTAAATAAGACAGTTTATCATTTGAGAACAGGTCTCTAGTTATTTTAGGGTGCTGCTTGGCTTTGGATAGCACATACTATCATACTGTGCAATAATGATTGAGGAACAGAGGAACATGTGGTGGTAGGAATTGTGCAATACTTGGAAGATGAAGCTTGTGCTGGAGTTAAGTGTTTCTTCTGTTCCTTTTGATGGGAGCATGGTATGTTTCACTCAATGACCTCTGTTACTTGGGCTGGATCAAGTCAAAAGTTGCTCTTGTGTCTTGTGCAAAAGGTCACCGTTTGAGTGTGATGACACTTTTGTGTTTATGGGTATGGTGATTTGAAGATGTAGCTTTCATTTTGAGACAGTTTGTATTGCACAGAAAGGGGATGAACAGAAAGGGAAATCTTGAAGAGTCGGAAAAAAAAAGTAAAGAAAGTAAGGTAGAGAATTGTTTGTGTTTATTTTATTTGCGTGCCCTGCGGAACAGCTGTTTGCTTACACAATCAGAGAGAAAATGCATGGTTTGGTTTCTGACACTCATTTACTGAATGGTGCGAAGCTGACCACAGGTTGTATGTGTGCAATGAGGTCCCACAATTATTATTGGATGCAGATTTATTCAGCTTGATATTTATAGAAAGTTATAAAATAAACTAAGTCTAGTTTTTTCGTTGGTGGATTTGTGACATTGCCACTAAAATGCTTGTTTAATAACCAATAATAATAGGAACCATGATACTTAGCTGGAGGATTAAAAAAATTATTTTGCTATTACCATATAATTACCCAGGGAAATCAATGTGATTTTGAGAATGGTAGTTCATTTGATCGTGCTGAAATAGCTTTATAGGCTCAAGACTAGCTCATTACATGACTGGCAGTCAGTGAATATTATGAGGGTTGAAGTGGTTTTGAGTGAATCAGGGAAGGGGTTTATCACCCTTTGTGTTTGTTGTTGAATGGGACTGTCGGATCGAAGCTTTAGTTTATTACTACCTCTTTTGATACTCACACGTGTATTCAAAACTTGCTTTCCTCAGAAGATAACTACGTCAAAGCAGCGTCATGGGATCCGCGGACGATCATGTATTGACCCTGAACTCAATGAATCCAAATGTGATTGAACTGCAGTACGCAGTTAGAGGTCCTATTGTCGTCAGAGCTACAGAGATTGAGAATGAACTCAAAGCTGGAGCGAAGAAGCCTTTCACCAGAGTGGTCAAAGCCAACATCGGAGACTGCCACGCCACTGGCCAGAAACCTGTCACGTTCATCAGGCAAGTGCTGGCACTATGCACCTATCCAGACCTGTTGAACAGCGATGGATTTCCAGAGGATGTTAAAGCACGAGCGAGAAAGATTCTCGACGGGTGCAAAGGAGGAAGTTTGGGATCTTACTCTGAGAGTGCGGGCTTGTTAGCCATCAGGAAGGATATTGCTGCGTACATCGAGGAGAGAGATGGGTATCCCTCAGACCCCAAAAATATTGTGATGTGTACGGGTGCTAGTGATGGCATCAAGTCCGTAATGAGCCTCCTTCTAACGGCGAAAAGCGGCAAGGAGAGGGCTGGAATCATGATCCCTATCCCTCAGTATCCTCTCTACTCCGCTACCATCGCAGAGTTTGGTGCATATCCGATCCCGTATTACCTGAATGAAGCTACCGGCTGGTCATTGGATGTGAGTGAACTTGAGAGGGCTATATCAGAGGCGAGGCCAAACTGCCTACCTCGGGCCATTGTCGTGATCAACCCTGGCAACCCCACTGGGCAAGTTCTGACCAAGGAGAACATCCAGGAGGTGATCAAGTTTGCCAAGAGGGAGAAGCTTTTCCTCATGGCTGATGAGGTCTACCAGCACAATGTCTACGCCGCAGGCTCAAAGTTTTTCTCCTTCAAGCAAGTGCTGATGGAGCTGGGCTCCCCATACAACCAGATGGAACTGGCCTCCTTTATGTCCGCCTCCAAAGGATTTATGGGAGAGTGCGGATACAGAGGGGGCTATGCAGAGGTAAGTAAATATTGGTTTTATTCTTTATAGTTTGTGGATTTCCAACTTTGTCGAAAGCCCTCTTCTAATAATGATAATATTGTAATAGTTTATCATAATCTGATGAATGATTTTGGTGGCATGCTGAATGGGTAGGTCTTTACCTGATGGACTTTTGAAGGACAATCATATTTGTTTTATCTTTTTGCAGTGCTTTTTGTAGCATTTTTTGTCAAATGGTTCTGACAATTTTGAATGTTGTGGTTGTACATGTGTGTTTGTTAATGTAAGTTAGTATGACTGTGGTAAGACTCTAATTTTGTTTGAGCGAACGTGGTTGAGGTATATATCTTATTGCCTATATTATAATTATGTAATGTTCCCTGGCCTTGCAAAATACACAGAGACAATGTAATTAAGCACATTGCATTTCTTTAGGTCACACTTGTGTAGGAAGACATTTATAAAAAACAATAAAAACTGTTTCAAATGAACTTAAATGATCATAAATATCTTAGACCAGAAAAGAAGTGCACGTCACATATGCACACATGAACACTTGCTCTCACACACCCACCCACCTGCACACACAAACACCCTGACGCAGATATGTATGTGAACAGAAATATAAGCACAAACTCATCAGTATGCGTTTGACCTTCTCGAGTAATTTTTGTGCATGTGTACTGAATAACATTTCTACATCATGTACAAGAAAGGCTCAGCAGATTGATGATATGATGATGTTGAAAGCAGCAGCTTCTGCTTTGATCATTCTTTCTCTGTTGGTATGAATGAGTGGGATATTTTTACACATATCAGAGGGTGGTTGGAAGATGCTCTTGTGGGGTTTGCTCCTTCTTTCGTGTCAAATATCTATCATCGTGATTCCACCTCGCCTCGTTTTTTGTGTTTGTAACATCCCTAATCTTTGGCACTTATGTGACCATATTGTGTTGCAAGTGACGAAAAACTCTAATTGAAACTAAAAACACATCAGGTGTGTACTTAATTGTGTCTTATATCTCATGCGATCTTAGATTGTGGTCATAATGTTGTGATAATCTCTGACTTTGCTGTCCTCCCTTTCAGGTCATCAACCTGCTGCCCGATGTGTATGCTCAGTATCAGAAAAGCATCACGGTCAAGTTGTGTCCACCAGTGTCTGGCCAGGCTGTCATCGATTGCGTTGTGAATCCGCCTAAACTAGGTTGGTGATTGCAGGGGGTGGTAAAGGATGACGAAAGTAATAATAATAGTTTGTACGTTTATGTCTGGTGATGACTGGTATGTCTTCAGTGTAGTGGCGAAGTAAAAGAACAGAAGGTTATGAGGACTTGTGGCTTCTGCTACGGCCAATGAGACCAATTCTGGCTGAGAAGGGTTTTGAGCATTATGGTGAAACTTTGTATTAGTTTTAATGTTAATTCTTCTGAATGTTAATTTTGTGGGACATTATTTTTCCAGACTCGTTTTTGTGGAGGTAATGAACACATAACAAGATCTGTTAGTCTCTCAATTAGGTCTATAGATACAGTTTTAATTTTTTTTTAAATTAAGAGAAAAATACTAATTTTAGTTTGTCTTTCTTATGCAGGTGAACCATCATATGAACTGTTCAAGAAAGAGAAAGAAACAGTCCTTGCCCAGCTCAAAGAAAAAGCAGAATTTGTATCACAACTCTTCAACTCACTCGAAGGAATCTCCTGTAATCAGGTAAGGTTGGTTTTTGGAGAATAATCTTGTCGAATTTGTCGTATATAAGAGTGACGAAATAATGATCTTTCTTCTTGTCACGCTGAAACTGAAAACTTCACTGAGCTGTCAATTTGCTCAACATTGAAAACTAACATATGAGGGCCACCTGTATAATACGGCCACCTGTACAAACGGCCACTTTCCATTTCCCCCCTGGCATTTTTTCGATATAATTTAAGTGTGTAAAACGGTCACCTGTCCAATGTGGCGGCGGCCACCTTATTTTATCAACCCACGGTCAAATTCACCAGCCTTATATGACCAGTTATGGTCACTCATTGCCCGATGCTTTGACTTTGACATAATTTTTAATCAGCCTCTGACGCTGTGGACGGGCTGTCATAATCCATTCACCTGACGTTATTGTTAGTCCCGCCAATGAATGTGTATCCAAGTTGACCAATGGGTAAGCCTAATAATGAATTTTTAACTCTTGGTGAGGGAAGCGTGTGATCCGTCATAACCTAGCCCGCCCACAACTCGTGCACAAATCATATGTGAGGTGACCGGTCATTGTTTTGTTTACCTAATCAGTAACAAAGTAACAATGGATGCTGACGTGAACTTGCGACAGAGTCTTCGCTCGTTCTCCAAGTGATTGAAACCCTAGTGTTTGTTTTACCATGCCACTTGGTCTTCATCGTCTTACTTACATAATTTTTTGTTTATTTTACCCTAGCACAAAATCAGCAACGAAAAGAAAGCTAACCAAAAAACAAAATAACGACACATAAAACCCTTCTTGCACCACCCACCTGCCTTTTCAAAAGAAAACAAAAACCCTTTTTAATTAGCTGTACGGCAGTCTATAGCCTGAGATCAGCCCCGGCGTGGACTTCTAAAGAGAATGATTTGCTTTCTTCATGTTGATCTGCCTAAGACGGCCACCTGTGTTATGCGGCCACCTTTTTCCTTGACAATGGGTGGCCGTTTTATACAGGTTTGACTGTATTTCAAATGCCTACTGCAATTTTGAACATGATGTCATTCCGAAAAGATATTCACTCTTTCAGGGACACTGCTTTTTCTGTCGGTAGTTTTAGGGCTATTAGTAAAATAATGTTCATCTTTGGTAATAACAAATAATGAACATCCAGAACATTTTATCTATGTGTCAAACCGAATGTGCTACTGATTAGGTAGACAATTATTTTGGGAATGTTTTTTTTATTTTTTACTTCAGCTTGTTTTTTTTTGGTAACACTTATGTTACATTTTCTTTGAATTCAGTGACTTTGTTCATCAGCTTCTTAATCTTACATGCTGTGTTTACAGAAGGTCAGCAAACTACCCACACCCTCTCTATGTTCAATTTGACATCTGTTATTCATAGCATATTTCTTCTTTGACAGGTCATGGGAGCAATGTACGCCTTCCCCTGTGTGCAAATGCCAGAGAAAGCCATTGAGGCAGCGAAGGCTGCGGGACAAACTCCCGACAGCTTCTACTGCTTTGCCCTGCTGGAGGAGACGGGTATCTGCACAGTGCCAGGCTCTGGCTTTAGACAAGTGCCCGGAACTTTCCATTTCCGCACAACCATCCTACCACAAGTAAGTAAAGTTTGGGACTGATGTTTTAATCCCGTCATTGCCAGGGGGTGTGCTTTCCTGCTGTCAGCACTGATTTTCAGCTTAGCTCGTTGGCAGTCTTATGCCTATGTTTTAATAACGTCGCAGTCCCCGGTCTTCGATTGTGTTACTTTCCTCACTTTTTAATTTCTGTATTCCCCATAATTTAATTTTTAAAAACTTGCAAATATAAGTAAAAAAGTGAACTCTTCTGCCATTTTAAAGTAATATTGGTGCTTATGTTTTGTGAGAGCACATGCTTGTTTGCTGGACCAGACCTTAATTCACCTATGGCTTGCAAGCTTCGCTGTAAATTTGGTACTGATATGAGCATTGTAAATTCCCAAATACGAATCCATGCTGTGCTTGTGGCTAAAACTTGGTATAGAAGAATTAGAGCCAGAGCTATAAAAATGTTGTTTTGAAAAAAATTCTGTTTTCAGATTTCTTCTACAAGACTTTCTTTGAAGGCCAAAGATTTTCTAAGGTCATATGAAAAGAGACTACATGCTATTGATAGAATTAGATAAGATTCCTTTATGACAATAACGTAAATGTGCAAGGGCTGATTTTAGTTCTTCTCTTCGTATTCCAGAATTCTTTTTCTTTTTGGTTTTTCTTTCCATATTCCAAAATTCTTTTTTTTTTTTGGTTTTTCCTTCCGAAGTCCAGAATTTTTTTCTCTTTTGCTATTTTTGTTTCTGTATTCCAAAATCCTGTTTTCTTTTTTGTGTTTTAGATGGATGAGCTGAAAGCTGTCCTAATGAAGTTCAAAGACTTCCATGTCGACTTCCTGGCAAAGTACAAGTAAATATGTGTGGAAGTGTCAGCGTGGGAGATGGCAGTCAGGAAATCCGCTCAAAACCAAGACCATCTTGTTTGAGCTGATACACACGAATTTTGATTTGTTGACTTGTTGTAAGAATTAGCATGAAAAGCTTTGACTTACCTCTCTGATTGCCGTTCTGGGTTTTCTTCTTTAGATTTGTCATAGTCATGAAGAAATCATAATTTTTTTTCTTTTAAAGGGACTGATTTGGTTATCCCGAGCCTTCAGCTTCAAGTGTTGACAGAATATCATAACTCCTGAGCATGAGTACTTGCTGTATATTTTATACAATTATGTTGTGAAGTGTTTGTTGGATGAATGGTTAAGTCCAACTCACCATCCTATTCTTTAATACAATGTGTATGAAATGTACAAGAATTTCAACTAATAACCTTTTATTGCCTTTCACTTTTATTTCAGAGGTTGAAAATATCATTTGTAAACAGTAAACATTTTGAAGAAATCATAACAGGAGAATAAAAAATGCTAAGTGTGTGCCCCTTGAGCTAACTGTTATTACTTAATAATGTCGGTCCATGCAATATTTGAAAGAAAAACATTTTCTTATTTTATATTTATAAAGCATGAGATCATGTGGGCATTTAGGATTTGAAAAACAAACTTGTTCAGTAGTTTATGGGCCTTTATGTTTTTAAAATTTGGAGGGTTTTGTTTTTTTGTCTCATTAATTAATATTTCCAGTGTTTTTCGCCAATGTCAAGTGCAAATATTTTAGTAAATTCTTGTTTGTATTCACACTGGACGATCTCATCATCCTACTTGCTCAAAATTCAAATCCTGTCCCTCAGACTATATCATTTCAAAGAGCAATGAAATGTGGACTTTGGATGCTCAGAAAATTTGGTTGTTGAGGTCCTTTCCATTTGAATTTAGTGACTCCCAAATACTTACTATGAATGTGCCCATATTGGGCATAAATGTTAACAGTTTACATACATTTATTGTCTTTTCCATGATTATTCTTTTTTAAAACTTTGTGTTTGAATCTGTCTTAAATTATGTGGGTTTTTTCTCTCCATTTTTTTTACCCATCTCCGTTTTCACCTTGCTCAGGTTATGCATAAAGTTTTCAGCCTCCACAGCTTTGCACTCTCAAACCACACTGCATGTGTTGCTGCTTTGTACCTTTTTACATACACACCTGTTGGACTCTTCAAGATAGAAAGATAGACATTTGGCATGATTTGGATCTTGTTCTTGTGTTTGTTAATATTCTTTGTTAAAGAGTACTGTTAAAAAGTTCGTAAATTGTTGTTTACACTGTTGTCTGATAAACTAGCTTTTTAAAAACCAGTTGTATATAACATATATTTTTTGTGTGAATTGTCCTCTTTCAGTCTCTCATATTGAGTTTCATATTGCAGACAAAGCAGATGATTTAATTAATGATTTAGAGAAAGAAAAACTCTTTATTAAAGACATACTTGTTATCAAGCGTGTGATAAAAAATTATTTTTTATTGGGTAGCTATGATTATTGAGCCCGTTTTTTTTCTGGGTAGCTTTGATCTATTTTCATAGCGCTCTAGACCCAGTCACTCCGCCTCTTATAACCTAAAAGTGTTTAGAGCGGCGTTAAAACCTATACCATTTTTTTTTCCTCCCACCCACTGTGATTTGAATGGTAGGTTCCAACTTAAGTGCTAGTATTAAACCAAAAGCATTTATTGACTACTTTGACTTCAACAAGGTATTTCATGTCTTATTCAGAGAAGTGGGCATATCAGAGAGATGTGTTTAGTAAGCTTCCATTGGTGGGAGAAGGTTTTTTTTCTTTACATACTCAATGTCCATTACAAAATACTTAATTTTTAGGTTTTCTTTTTTGGAATTCTGGCCATGTTTCAGAAGTTATTGATCAAGGTACTTGATGATAATTTTCTTTCACTCTGAGCCTAGTATTTGTTATTGTGATTTGTTAACGTCACAAAGCATTATTTTGTATGGATGCAGTTTATTGGATTTTTGTACTTTCATAAAGATGGATGTTGAGAATGGCGTAGAGTGGTAATGAGAAGCAGAATGTAGTATGGCTGATCATACCTATCCAAGGCATAGTTTTGGTCCATGAATATAGGTTTCTGTAAGTGCTTGACTTTGCTTGTGTGTCTGTATCTACCTATGAGTGAATATAGATGCGTGTGTACATTTGTATGAGTTAATGTTGGTGTGTTGGGGATTGCTGCTGGTGTTGAGGTTGAATTGTGTTGAACTGCAGAGTGCTCAAGATAAGGAAAGACAACTCATTTCATATAGTGATAGTTATCTAGACACTTCTGTTGCTAAAGACTCGGTAATAGTCAAGTTATTTATTTTGTTTATGACAATCTATTTCACAATTAATCATGAATTATTTATGAGATATTTTATAAAGAATTTAGAAAAAAATTTGGATAGGGAGTAGTAGCACAAGGTTTAAATGGAAGAATGATTTTACTAACGACGACTGTAGAAGCTGTATTTTCTATATGGTTTGCAGCACTGTTTTTTTTTCTCCTTTCTTCTCTGATAGACAGAGACATGTTGAAGATCAGTATGTGTCAAATGAAAAATGTTTAATCCCCCGGGGCGGTGCCACTGACTGAAGTGTGTTTAGGCCATTCCCAAAGGGAGGACATTTCTCGTTCTAATGCACAGTAGAATTGTAAATGGGCTGATTCATCAATGTCACGCTCATAACTGTGCCTGATCTACAACAGGGAACTGCTGCTTTTTCTTTCCTAATCCTTACTATTGTCATTTTTCCTCTACTTCTTTTGTAGGTTTGTCACATTCTTGTGACCCGCTATTTCCAGGGTGCCTTGAAAGTCGTAATAGATTTTGTGCTGTTGAAGCTAGAGAGGTGAGCAGAGTAAGCCTGATTCCCTGTAAAGACTTTTCTGTTGACATCCACCCCTTGGCGCTCATATGACCTTATGCAGTTGCAAGTTCCATAAAACCTCTACTATATAAAAAAATATGAGAAATATTTCAGAACGTAATTCCCTTTTGTTCAAATACTTTCAGCAAACTTTGACATGCTGAAACTGTTTTCTTTCACCTATTTCTTTTTTAGGTGTTTAATTGAGATACTTAGATGTGGTCTGTTCATTTATATCTTACTCTGTTTCAAGTTGGACCACGTATGCCTTACGGAAACCGGCAGCTCTTTCAAGCATTATTTTCTAGTGATTCATTGTCTACTGTCCTTTTTTTGTGGGACAGCATGCTCTTATCTGTGTTTCCTTATTGCTGATGCTCTAGCTGTAGTATTTGATCTCTTGTTGACATGTTGTGCTGCTGGCTTGGCTAAAAAGGTCACTTTCTAAAATCAAATTGAGCTAGGGACAGGTAGTTTTTAAAATATTATATAACAGCTGTCTGACAGTATTTTTCTTTTTTTGATTGTGGCAGCTTCTGTCCATAAACTACCACATGAGAAGGTTGTTTATTCTTAGAATGCTTGTTTAGGATTGTAGTGCCAGGAAGCTGCTTTTAGACTGCTGTTCATTTTTTAAATTTATTATTTTTGTATGTGATGCTTATGTCTATCTAAACAGAATTTTAGCTGTTCTTATAGTTACAACTACAACTCTCCTTTGTGAGATACATATTCTGCATTCTAATTCTTTTGGGCACACGTAGAAAAGACTTTTTTTTCAGCTGATTTTGTAACATTGTTTCTTTGGCAGTGTCCTAAGTACTTGCTCTAATAAGAAGGTCCTTTATTGTCAGATTTTTAACTTAGTTGAAGTTTGCTTCTGGCGGTAGGTACAGTAGTCTCCGCCTAAACGCACGGTGTTCGGGAAGGCTCCTTAGCGTGTGTTTATACGGAGCGTGCATTTACATGAACCTTTGCAAAGGGAGGAAGGGACGCAGTCATCTCAATTCCTTATTACTCTAGTGACCTCCCTTGGGGGTGGGGGTCTTGGCCGATAATGTAACGACACGTGACTGTTTTGTGAAGGATTCCCCGACTGGGGTAAAGAATACAAAGGCGTTGAATGGGGGGGGGGAAGAGAAAGACAGACTCAATGTAATGAATGCGCAATAAAACGTCGGGAACTGTTAGCCTAAGAGGAAACTGTTGGAGATAGTCGCAGAGACCACGGCCCAACCACGTGGCTTTCCAAGAGACCACCCCTGACTGTAAATTCATTGATGACGTCAGAATCATAGCTCTACGTTCAGAGAAACATTTCTCTTGTGATTCGTTGAAAAAGTATGTTATAAGTTCTTCGAGCACAGCTGATTAGGCTTACTTGGCTAATCTATAATCCTAAGAGGCCTATCTAGTGTTTTACAGCATTCACACTTGTTGCGCATCATAGGCCAAAGTCTAACTATACATTACATGCAGTCACCCTAACACCAGTCAGAAACCTTCTCTCAAAGATGCATTTCAGTGACTAATCAAAAAACATTTCAGTCAAGCTTTATCTGTTGGCATGTTTCGTGGATCGGAGCGTGCGTTTAGAGGGAGTTACCGTGCGTTTGTACGTCCAAATTATATAGTAAAAAACCCATCAGATGACGAATGCGTGCGTTTGAGCGGAGTGTGCTTTTGTATTGCTTGTGTTTAGGCGGAGACTACTGTATATTCGTCTCTGTCCTCGAGATTAGGCCCACTTTGTTTTGAATCATTTAAAGTTGAAGTATATTATCAGTTTGAGGACTGACCACTGTGATTATCATTGTGATGTTTTCATGCTGTTTTCAGTTTTTGTACGCAGGGTTGCCAGATCCCTCTGAAAGTAAAGCCAAATCTGTTGCAAAAAAAGGCCAATTAAGGCCAAACCAATTGGGAAAAAGCCGTAAAAAAAGGCCAAACTTTTACCCAGCTTTTCCTGCCTCATCATCATCATTTTGAAGGGGAAAATGAATACATGTACATGTAGGCTACTGGTAGACCTAACCACGCCTTTTCCCAAAATTAGTTGTAAGCATTTTCAAAATCTTACTCAAAAAAATACAAAAAGCTGTAATACTATTTCTAAGTACACTGTGGATCAAAGAATTGTATACAGTCAAGGCTAGTTAGTAAATAGTCCTACGTGTCTTTTGTACTGCTCCTCAATCTCAGCGATTTGTGTTCCCATTATGTGTCTAAAAGGCAAATTCTTGAATGGTGGCCTGTTCATCTGTGTGAGGATTTGCTGTGGGCTGAGGTTACTGAGGCCCCCAAACATCTCCATGGCTGGGGGTAGACGCATCTCGATTTGATCTAAGGCCTCTTCGAGCATTGCTTGGCAACATTTTTCATGTTATGTATGCATTCCCGCTGTGCTTGCTTGCAGTCTTTGGCTACACCAGCTAGGAAATCGTCACACTCGGATTGAAATTTGAATCCAAGGTCTCAGTCATTTGTGTCTTTCTTTGTACCGTCAGCATTTAACAGTCTTGCTTTTAGACTTCCTTAAAGAAGATGCAGTTCTTTTGATAAGTCGTTTTGATCAGCTCTGGATGCCTGGAAAAGACTGTTTACCCTTTCAAACTCCTGAACGACGGGAACAGAAAAATGAAACTGAAGATTGTTCATGGGGTCTTGGAGCATCTCTTTCAAAAGTCTAGCTTTGTACTTCGAATCAAGCTGAGCATTCAACTCAGCAACAGTGAAGTAGGCTACAAGGGTGTCCCAATGGACGAGTATGTTGTACATCACTTTTCCACGCTCTAATCACCGTGTAGCTGCAGCTCTCTGGAATGGTGTGGGATACGACTGGGTGCCATCATTGTCACAGTCAGTGTTCATGACTTGAAATAACTGAAGAAATCCATGTCTCGGAAGGGTACTGCTTGAAAACCACTTAGAAATTTCTTTCAGCAAAATTCCTAGATCTAAGTTTGCAGGAAGTTTGCTGAAGGCATGTTGAGCACACAGGGCGAGGGAATGACATATACATCTCTTTTGGATGCAGTGAGGTGACTTTGTTGGGATACGTTTCCATACGCTGTTTGTCTTTCCAACCATGACCGATGCCCCATCTCTTGCAAAACCAATAGTTCTTAAGTTCCATGCCATACAGTTTTAACTCTTGATCAATCGTCTGGAACAAAGTTTCAGCGTTTGTTTCCACCACAGGCACCAAGCCCAGAAAGGAACTCCTCACACCACAGTCTTCGACAAATGACACTGTGATACACATCATCTTCTGTGTTGACACATCTGTTGATTCGTCAACAACAATGACAAATTTTTTCCCTGGCACAGCACGTTGAAGCTCTTCTTTCATCGAAGCAGCCACTGCCTTTTTGATCATTGCAGTGCACTTGGTTCTGTGTTTGCGCATAAAACATTGCCTATCATGCCACCCACTCCATTGATCTGAAGTATGTCACAAATGATCCATCGTACTGAGGGCTGTATGGCATGCAACAAAGACAGCATACTGAAGCTCTGTCCACTTTTGCGTCTCCGGAACTGATTTTTCACGAGGTGTTTTTGTCAGAAAAGAATTTGCCAGCGATTCTTTATTTCTTATGGGTGCTTTCTGCTTGTGCCTCTCGATTGCTTCGTGACTTGTTAATGCACTAATCTTTGGAACTAATTCTGTGAAGCAGTATTTGTAGAATGCTTTTTCACCTGATCCTGTGCTCTAACGAACCCATGGAAATTGTTGTTCCCATTCTTTCAAAAAAGGCCCAAAAAGGCTAAAAAGCCAAACAAGAAATTTCAGGCCAAACCCATTGTAAAAAGACCAAATTTTAACTTTTTAGCCTTAAAAAGGCCAAACTGGCAACCCTGCTTGTACTGTATGTCGCAATTTTTTTAATTCTTGATTTTATAGAAATGCGATTTTCATTCTGTACATATATCTGAAAGAGATGCTCTATGCTTTGACAAGGGAGAGACCTTTTGGTAAATCTAATAATAATAATAATAATAGATAGCATTTGTATAGCGCATATCCCCGCTCAGCAGCAGGATTTAAGAGCAAAAGAAAGCTAGTTAAAATTTCCATTTGCATCAAGAGTTTTCAGGCTTGTCATGATTGGTAAAATCTCAGCAGGGCCTCTAGTTAATATTTTTAAAGACACTGTTAATGAGAGGCAAAATTGGCTGTTGTGTAGAATTTTTTTTTTGCAGTTCTCAATTCAACCCCATGAGCTAATCAATCCAGAGGATTAAGTATTGCTTGTTTTGTTAACTCTGTTTGAATCACAATCAGTGCCTAGTCATATTTTGAAATATAGTCATTCAGTTTCCTCTTCTGAAATAGACGTGAGTGTTGGTTCGTTCTTGACGTAGTGTCTTTGGTTGTTGTAACTTATTGGAGTGTGGCTTGTGTATATGTCATCTTGATCATTGTTAACAGAATAAAGTCTTTAGCAATGGTGTATTCTTGCTAAACTTTTAAGAAGTTGTATGACCAGAATAGACCCTGAGGTGACTGTCA